AAGTAGCCCTCCCAAGGATGCCAGCCAGAAGCTTCTAACACCGTGGCCATGCCAGGCTCAACTGAAACTTTAGATCAAAGCTTCCCTTGTAGGAAACTCAATATTGCTCTTCCTTCTATGAGTTTGTGATGTCTTCTACAAGATACCATCACATCTGCAAACGGGCTTCACAGGGCAAGGAAACAGAACAGCAAAAAAAGTTAAATTTCCTGTTGAAAATGACAATCATAAACATGTTCCCATTAAACATTTTAAGTTTAAAATAATAGAAGTCAGAGAGATGTGGCAGAAGAGGAAGTCAGAGATCTGAAGCATAAGAAGGACTCTATGTGGCTTGCAGATGAAGGGGGCCACATGGAAAGTGGGAGAAGGAACTGAATTCTTCCCACAACCAGTGAACTTGGATGAGAGCCCTGAGCCCCAAATGAGAATAAACCTGGCCAACAATTTGATCTTTAGTCCAGTGAGACCCTGAACAGAAAGACCAGCCAAGAAGAGCGCCATGGGAGCAGGGAGTAAGAAGGTACCCTGCCCGGGAAGTCAGGAGGGGCTTCCTAGGAGGGGTTTGCTGGAAGAAATGGGAAAGGCTCTCGGACCAAGGGAGATATAAGAAGATAAAAGTGGGCCAAACTTCTGGTGTACAGGAGCTGAGGTTAATAAATGTGTTCTTTTAAGCCACTTCAAAAGAAAGTTAAAATAATGCTCATGCAACATGTAGGTTCAAATTCTAGCTTTGCCACCAACCCATTGTATGACCTTGTGCCATGTCACCTAGCCCCAGAATCTCATCTCCCATCTGTAAATTGGGGGAAGGGCACATGAACAGCTACTTTCTAGAGTAATTTTAAAAGCAAAATGAAATAGAAATGTACTTTGCACACACCATATGGCATCGTGGAAATGCAGGTTTTTGTAACAAACCTCTGCCTTCCCGACTATCATCACACTAATATAAATTCTACATTTTTCTCTCCATATACCCTCCATTTTAATTGAGCATAAAATTAGCTAAATATTTGTGAAATACTCCTTTGTGAAAAAGCAACACAAAGACATTTTTAAATCTAAAAAGACAATATATTTACTGAGGTCATTCCTCTCTCAACACACTTTTGCAAGTTTGCAATCTGTGAGCCCCTCTTCTCCTTTGGGATCAGTGTCTGGATCAAAACTCGTCACTCACACTCACAGCCATGGCACACCCAGCACAATGCCCTACAGTGCTGCACACTCCCTCTCCTCGACCTCCTAACAAACAACACTTAGAAGTACTTTGACATCTGTGATCTCATAGGCTCCTTCTAAGCCAGAGCTAAGACAGATGAAATGATGCCGTATGATAGATGGCTGGCCCTGGACCACATCACAAGAGCAAAGTCAGGCCCAGAAGTGAAGTCAACTTATTGCAAGCTGATGCCCTCCACCTCCCCCTGGCCCCTCACACACGCTTGGATTAGCAGAGGGCAGGAAGAACAGAGGACACTGCCTGCTTGTTCTGTGCCCAGGGTGACACTGGATTTGCCAACCCTCCCCCAACATGCTGTGCATGTACCCTTGTGGTGCCTAAGTCCCAGGGCCAGGCTTGAATTTGGGGCACATCATGCAAGGTGGCATGTGGATTTCTGAACTTGTTTGCTGTTAGTTAAACAAACTGCTTGGGTCTAGAAAATAAGGCCAGGTTGATCAATAATCAGTCCCATAACTCACCTCAAGAAAACCTCCATGTTTATCTTACATGAATATGCTGAATAGCATTATGTTAACCAACCATCCACTCCTCCAAAAAGAAAATATACCCTTTGAATCATGCCTGATCATTAAGAAACTACAAAAATAAATAGCCAACATTACACTTAGTTTCCTTCTCATCAAAAGCCTACATTCTAGTTTTAACATACAAAAAGGAAAATTGATAAAATTGAAAAATATAAAAGCAGAAAATGGAACTCAAAGTACAACATATATGTATATATATATAATGAACATTCAGAATGAATTCCATATATACCATATACATGAAATCATGTATTTCTTATACATATAAAAATTCATTCTGTAAGTTCATTATTTAGAGCCTCATTTCTTGCTGTTGAAAACTGTGACTTGGCTGATTTACTTAGTGATAGGACAGAAATATACACCAGAGTCCAAGCTGGTAGCATTCACATGAAAGAACTTGGATTCGCATTAACCATTGCTTTGAGTTTGGACAATAAACATTAAAAGGAACCTGTGAGAATGTACTTTGTACTTGTATGGAAGGAGCAAACATTTTGGCATTTGAAGGAAGTATGAGTCTAATTCCAGTATTAGCACGTCAGACATGTTAGTTAATGAGTCACCTTCCATCTCCTGCCCTTCTCTGGCTGAGCCCCAGGGAGTTGGCTGCATTGGATCTCAGGAGTGGCCACCTGCCCTAGGCACACTGTCAGACACACCAAAACAGAGTCGAAGTGATTATTCAAAATAAGAAATTATTCTCTTACACATACTTCTGCTGGGACAAATAACTGAGAAGGAAGTACATTCTCAGACGTGGGAGTGAAGGCAGGCTCAGAATCCCTGATGAATGTGAGAGCATTTAAGTACTTCCACGCGGTCTGTCATTCCTTTTCTGGCTGCCATTCATAGTGTGACCTTTGGCAAGACATCGACACTAAACCATTGCTTTCTCTGTGAAAAAGATCTGTTCAATTTATCTCAGAGAACTGTTCTCAAAGTTCTTTAAAAAGCATATGTAAAAGTGTATTAAAAACACTTAATTGCTATTAAATTCTTTGAAGACAATTTTTTTTCTTATAGGGTTGTTTACTATCTTTAGGGTTGAAAAAAACCTAGATTTATTATCTAAAAGGAAATAACTGAATTACAGAAAACTGTAATTATAATTCCCAAAGTTCACTAGATTCATAATTTACATTGCAATAAGTCTTGCTGGCCAGGCATTGACTAAAATCACTGCTGTATAACATAATTCATTCAATACTTCTCTGGGAATGCAAATTTAAGTTTAGCAAACAATAAGCACACTTTAAAAATGAAATGATGTTGACATTCTAGGAGATGATTAAGCAGATTAAGAAACCATAATCTAAAATGTTTTAAAATGATGTCATTGAGTTCCTCAAAACTGAAGGATTAGAAAATAAAATTTCAATTTACAAGTCAGTTATAAACCTTTGTACTCAGGTATAGTAGCATACAATATTCAATAAAAAGACATCAACACCAGTATACGAATGTGAGCTTTCAGTTTTGCAGAAACACAAGTTCTAGTTGTTAACCAACTTCTGGCACTCAACTTTAGAGAAGTCCAGCCTTGAATACTAATCAAATGGAAGTGAGCTTAAGGTAACACTTCCTTTTTTAAAAAAATCATAACAAGGAAACACATTCCTCTAATAAACTTTTGGAAGGTTAGAACTGACCTGAGAGAGCATGCAGTCCAACCCTTGTTTGACAAGTTTTAATTAGTTGGACTGGAGGGGGCAATCCAACTAATGACTTTGATGCCTGGAGCCATTTTTATTGGAATGATCAAAGGCCTAAGTTATTGGTTGCTTCTCTAGATAACTACCAATGCTTGTGCCCTGGCAGTGTGGAGTATCATACATGCAACAAGAAAGTCTGCCACAAGGGATGGCATTAGGTTCGCTCCCATTTCCTTGAAGACACAATGTAGCAAAACTTACTTCCATTAAGTGGTACTGTGGATTTGGGTACTTGATGTTCATTTTGAGCCTAGCATTTAATAGTGCTCCTGGATAATAAAATTGAACATGTCTAAAAACATGCAGCACAACAACAGTTAACATGCTTAACTTCCTGCTCCACATTTATTGGGGCTAAGAGACAAAAACAGCTATTTTTTCTCTTAAATAATGGAAAAATATGACACCAATTGCTTAAATACGTGACAAAACTTTCTGGATCATGAATCAACATACAGTGCAATAGCCTACAGATATCAGTTGAGACCATTTTACAAAACATCATTCATCTAAGGCCTCTGAAATTGTCTCTGAAGCTACACATATGTAAATGACCTATGCACATAAAGGCATCCATTCATGAACAGAGTCTTTCAGAAGCACTTTTAGGGAGGGCTAAAGTAATACATACACATTTAGATTCTGAATAAGTTTTAGGGGACAAATTTGGGGTTCCAAGAAACAGTGCTTTACATTCAAATAAGCATTTAGATTTTTCAGACTTGGATAGGGAAAATTTTTGCGAGGCAGGCCACAAGAAAATTCACACTGCGAATTATTCATTTATCAAAGACCTCCTTCAAAAGAGAGATTTCAAGTCCAGAGCAAACATCTATGGCATGAACAAACAGGATGCCTAAGATGCTAAAATTTGCTTCCGTGTGACTTTCCTCCTCACCTCCCTACCCAAGAACAAGAGGAAAATCCCTAGAAGCAGCAAGGGCCAGGTGTTACGCCATTACATCCAGCATTGTTTCTGCATTGTTCAGTTACTACATCCAGACCACAATTTTGGTGGACTTTTAAATTCCTATTTCAAATGGACTATACTATACCACTCCAAACACAAAAGGATTTTGCCAAAATATCCAAACATTACCATGTAGACGCAGATTTCTTCCTACTATAGAGTGAGAATGACTAGGAAAGAATAAACCTGAGGGAAGAGACAAGGTTAAATGCTTTCACTGGCCAATTATCCAAAATGATAATATCAGTCCATTATCAAAGTTGTCAGCTTTCTCCTGTACAAACAAATGTTCTTGATCGGCTTACATCTTGACCCTTGATGTACCAGAGGTATACTTGGGTTTCACCTCCCAATCTGTCCTGTTGATTCTGACAATTTTACACCTGTCAGTTCATTTAGCTATTTAAGAAAGAAGTCACCATTTTCCAGGTACTTTTCAAAATTTAAAAATAAATCCTGTTATTTTAAATCTGTTTGACAAACAACCCCTACTAGTTATTCCCCACAAAAGAAAAGGAGCCAATTCTTCTACAACAGAATCTCTGTGAGAAGGCAAGTCCCTTCCATTTATTTTTCTAGGGAGATAACATAGATGTTTTCTTCCACTTTAAGTCTAAACTCGGGAGCTCCACGTTTAATAACACACCCTTTAGGTAACTTGAAACCAGTCACTCTCATAAAATTCTTTGTGGAACCAAGGTTGAAGAGTTTGCTAATTGAGTAGTAGATTGCAACTACTAACATTCTTGATAGAAAAATTCAGTTCAGTTGAGTTCCTGTGATCCCCTGAGCAGTTACGAATGCCTTTAACTCTGATGAGGCAGTGTAAGACAAAGCAAATTATTCAAATATATATACCCCTATCCTATGTACTAATATGAAATACATTGATGAATAGTACTGGTTTTTTTGTTTCAAAGGAAAATAATATACAATATTGAGAAATTTCTAATAAACAATTACAAATGTTTTTAGTTGGCTGCCATCAAAAGTTTTCCCAGAGTTCAAATCGATGTTCTATACAAACTGTAAATAAAAATATGCATGACCAAAAGTAATATATATATAGTAATATATATATGTATGTATGTGTGAATTAAAGTTCCTTAAATATACACATCCCCACTTAGGATACATTCCATTACATAGGCAAAGCATTATTCTTTAATAATAGGTCCAGGATAGCAGCAATTTAGTAATCCAGTTACCCAGTTACCTCAGAACATATCATAGTTCCTGACAGTTCCTTATGCGGTATCCCTGGCTTCAAGGAGAGCTCTCTATTAACACAGTCCAGCTCTCAGGAGGCACCCGGCTACACTGCTAATGGCAATTATGTCATCCTGAAATTGGAGAAAAGTCATTGTCTTTTCAAAACCCGTTTATTCAAAATCTGACTAATGGTATAGTGGGAAAACCATGTCACAGTGAGGTTATACAAGTCCAAACTGGTGAATATATATAAAGCTTTTACATTTTATTTCTGATATATTTTTGTTGTTTTATCAGTGTCTTGTACATACAGAATTCAGACTGCCATAACAGATACTAAACTCTGCCAAGAAGACAGCTGCTCTGGTTTGAAAACACACAAATAATGTGATTATCAATCAGTGTTTTACCAACTGAGATGACAGTACTAAGTATCGTTTTAAAAGAGTCATGTGTATGAGTCTATACTTGGGTAAGTTAAGAAGTTGTATCCAAAATTTACATGTATAATATGCAAAAAAATCTGTAGGTTGATTTATAATAAACAATTAGTCACAGAAGGATACAGACTGGCTTTTACATAAACATGTATTTTGTGTGTTGTACTATTGTGTGTGACAATACACACTATGATTTTGCATTCACATCCAGGCATGCCCAATGGATAGAAATTCTAGGTAGGCAGAAAGTCATATGGGTTCTAGATGCACCTAAGGGCTTGGTGTGTACCTTTAGGTCTGACTCTACGTCTGTATGAACACAGACCTAAGAAAGGTCCCTGTTATCTATGATGAAGGTTTTGAACCTCTGCCACTGCACCCAAATCCTTCGTGTAAAACAAGTGTGTAGACAGCAGCTACTGGCTACAAGAGAAGGCTTTATCACCTTTAAAAAGTTACACTTGCCCAGAGACAGACTAAACTAGACCATATTGTTTTATATGTCGAAACCTTTTCAGTGGGAAGGGACAACTTCCTCTGCACAGAAGTTTCTCCTGCTTGAAGCTGAGATCACACAAGCAGAAACCCATTGTGCTCCTGCCAAGTCACTGTGGGGATATGCTGGGAAAGCACACCCAGGCGCTGGCAGCGGCAGAGCCACCACATCGAGTCCTAAGATAAGCAGCCTGCTTTATCACTCTTATGAAAATTTTCCCCGAAACAGTCTTATCCATGACTTTCCCCCACGTTTCCCATGGTAGTCAAACAATACAGAACACACTTGAGCTTCTCAATGATCATGTATATTGCCAACCATGACAACACCTTTATTATATGAACATTCACTCAGGCTCCTTGAATCTGGCTGGAAGTTGAGCAGTCCAGTGGGATCCTTCAGATGATAGGGTGATGATGTGTTAGTTCCTTCCCAGGAACCTGAAGCTTCTGACATGCTCCACAGATGCAACCTGGACTGCGGAACCCGACTGTCTTTACACAGGAACACACACACCAATGCTCGGCCTTTCCTGACGCCACAGGCAGGTAGGCCAGTTCAAAGTCTGGACACAGAGGCACTTCCAAAATTTGGCAAGAAAAAGGAGGCGAGTTCACTAAGTGGGGCTTTATCACTGTATTGTCTTGTATGTATAAGACATGTGTGGCACACGGACACAAAGAGAGATGGATCTTTAGGTTGTGGATGGGTCATGCTTTTTCTTCTTGCCCCGGCAGGACTTGCAGACACAACAGATTATACATGGGGAAGCCAGAAGCAGCAAGGGCGAAGTCACCAAGGCAATGATGCCTAACCCCACAAGAATCCCAACCACCTGGAAATTTAGAAGAAAAAAAAAATTTTAGCAATTAAATCTCCCTATTTGGATACTACACCAACAACTGTGGACTGAATGCTGGTGCCCCACCCACACAAAAATTTCATCTCGAAATCCTAATTCCCAATATGGCCATGTGGAACCCTCATGAAGGGATGGCTGCCCCCATAAGTAGACACACCAGCGAGCTTGCTGCCTCTTTACCCTCTGCCATGTGAGACACAATAGGAAGATGGCCATCTGTGAACCAACAAGCCCAGTCCCAACCCCAGTCCTGCTGGCAGCCTGATCTTGAATTTCCAGTCTCCAGAACCGTGAGAAATAAATTTCTGTTGTTTAAGCCACCCAGTCTATGGTAATTTTGTATAGCAGCCTCAACTGACTAAGGGACCATCTCAGGCACATAAAATAGTCACAATTATGGGACCTTTTATCCAGCAATGGTCTGAACTGAATAAATCAGGACAATACCAAAGACTAAATCAAAGGTGAGGAGAACAAACCAAACCCTAACTCAGGCTCTGGCACAAGCTCAGTATAATCATGAAATGTTGATGTTGGCTCTCTCTCTACCTGAGTTTCCTCAACAGTCTCATAGGGACATTAATAATAATTACTAGGCTATTAACACTGACTCTTTCAAAAGGAACATGGCCTCTAACAAATATGAAACACTATTAAAAACAAACCAGGCCTCCCTTTGAACCTGTCATATAAACACACCATTGCAGGCACAGAGGGACCTAAGCCCCAGCGGGGGCTTATCAGGTTTTAGAGCACCGCCTTTCACAGCAAATATGCTGTACAGGGCTTTAGGGAAGTCATTCCGCCATTTTTTTTTTCAGAGGGAAAGAGCATCTGCCCTCATTCTGCAAGTCACTCTTAATTATTTGGCTGCTCTGATGCCCTGCCCCTCCACTTATCCTCAAGAGAACTGTGCTCATCAATTAACTCGGGGCAATTGCTCCATTACTTTTTCCCAGCCCCGCCCCAGAACTCCCAGAACCTCCCAGGCTAGAATGGGGAAGCGGGAGTGGAGTGAAGAGGATGAATAGGTGAGCTTTTTAAGCCATCATATATCTGGTTTATCTCATTCTCCTTTTAAGGTCAGGGTACCTGTGTTCGGTTCCATATCACCGAGGCTCTTGAATGGCCAAGCTTATTCCTACATGGTCCTTTGTCATAATGTCTGAGGAAAATGTCGCTCTGAAACAAAAAAAGAGAAAAGTATTCATAAACATTTTGAATTGAGAAATGGATATTAACCACATCAGATCACCTTACTGGAAGCAAAGGCTGTCTGGTGATATCAATAACAGCCTCTAGAAACTCCCAGCCCATGATCTTTAGACTGTATCTCAGTAGTTTTACATATCACCAAGTGAAAACAGATCCTAATCAATGGAACTCTTGACTGAGTCTAAAAGATATTAATGGCCTGACCAATTATCTTCAAGGTATGGGATGGGATGAGAGGACTGTGAGTGAGGCAGCGAGAAGGTGGCTGTAGTAAACGAGGTTATGACATGCTAGAGGCTGAGAAGGAGAAGAGGAAAACACACTCACAAGATATTAAGAAGGTAATGAACCAGGTGGATAAATAAGGAGAAATCACAGATTAGGGGAAAGTCCCTGGGTAGAAGGTGATTGCTTTGTTGAGAGAAACAAGAACAGAGAGATGGATTTTGTTGGGAGGTGATGACCACAGTTTGGACAAGTTGAACTTGAGAAATACTTAAGACATACAAGTGGTACTGTTCAAAAGGCAACTGGTTAAATATATGTGGATTTGCAGGGGAAAGGGCTTGGCAATCAGTGTCCATGGGGTAGAAGAAACCACAGCAGTGAATGAGATCCTAGGGAGCACGTATATGGTCTGAGAGGCAAACAACTGTTGAACACAAGTATAAAAATAGGTCAAGAAAGAGTCTGGAAAAGAAACTGACAAGTGGCCAGAAATACGGAAGGGAAACCTGAAGAGATGGAATCAGAGGTGGTCAAGATTTATCAAAGGCAGCAGAGAATCTAGGTAAGATGAGAACTTAAGCGTCCCTGGATTTTACCCACATTACTTGAAGCCTTGGAAGAATACAGTCAGGGTGTAACCAAGTAGGAATCTGGACACATAGCAAAGACTGAAGGTAAGGGTCAACAGCTACAGGTGATTATGTTTTACTGAGGCCTGGCTGCTCACAGGAGGAGAGAAATGTAAGGGAAAGATGTAGGCTTGAGGAAAAGGTCCCTCATTTTTTAAAAATTTTAATTAATTTTATTTAGTTATTTTTCAAGTACAGTTTTTTTGTCTATTTCTCCCATCCCAGCCTCCCCTGCCCCTTGCTCCCCACCTCCCTCCCATTTCCACCCCCCTTAGTTCTCATCCCTGTGTCCTTCCTATTTGTTCCTCCAAATCCCTCTCCCTTTTTCCCCTTAACTTCCCTTCCTTCTCCCCTCTGGTCACTGTCCCCTTGTTCTCTATTTCAGTGTCTTTGTTTTTTTTTCTGCTCATTTTTAAATGGGACACGGTTGAATGCATTGGTCAGTTAGAGACTAGAGAGTAGAGGGCAAAAGTTGAAGTCAGAGGAGAGAGAAAAGATAACTGAAGGGTGCAAGTCACCTATGTTCCCAAGGCAGAAGATTAAGAACACCTCAGTAAATGAATGGATCAAAAAACTATGGTTCATTTACACAATGGAATTCTATGCAGCAGAAAGAAAGAAGGAGCTCCTATTCTTTGCAACAGCATGGATTATGCTAAGCAAAGTAAGCCAGGCAGTGAAAGACAAATACCATATTATCTCACCTTTAACAGGAACCTAATTAACAAAACAAATAAGCAAGCAAAATATAACCAAAGACACTGAAATAGAGAACAGGCCCACTGACAGTGTCCAGGGGGAGAGGGGAGGGAATTTCAGGGGAAAAAGGGGAAGAGTTTACAGGAACAAGTTTGAAAGACACATGGACAAAAACTGGGCAGGGGCGGGGGGGGGGGGGCAGGTAGAAATGGGAGGGAGGTGGGGAGCCTGGGGGTGGGGGGCTGGGATGGGAATAAAAGACAGAAAACTGTACTTGAACAACAATTAAAATTAAAAAAAAAAAAAGAACACCTCATCTTCCCACAGTGGTAGCTTGTAAGATTGGAACTATCTCAGCTGTTTTTAGATCTGATTCACATGTATTTGAGTGGAGGAATTTTTTCACAGTCTCTTGATGTTAAAATTTAACCAGCATTAATAACATGGTAAAATAGAAGAGCAAATGTGTTCAAAGATCAACAGACTGTAACTCTGGAAAACTATCTCAAAGCCAGCATAATTAAAGGCTTTGCGAGTTGATTTTTTTTTAACAATTAGATATTTTTAATTAAGTAACCCACTATGTATCTTTCTCTCATCATAGTTTTCTTTGATTTTAGCCTCTTTCCTCTTCATTAGCTGCCAGAATGTGCTTTCTTGAAGGCTCAGCAGTTGCAGAAGACAGAAAACTCATCTGGGATTCTCCTGCTGTAACTGACACATTCTTCTGATTAATTACACTTGTATGATGTTTTTTGTTAGGTAGTTTCCTTTATGCTTCACAGATCCCCCAGACTGGGCTGCTATTATTCCTCTTTTCCGAAGCAGTCATTGTGCCTGCTCACCTGGTGAGGCGGGGAAGAGCCAGGTGTCAAGTCAGTGCTCCTCCACCCCACCGAGGTACCCCGGGACCCTCTCAGATATCACTGGGCTGATCTGACCAGCCAATGTGGCAAATGCCATATGCAACCTTTCCTGAGGCCATGGGAAGGCTTCCTGCAGCTAAGATTTGTGTGGGGTATTGTCTAGACAAATACCACTGAAAGTGTGGTTCTCGCTTCATCAGCTTCACTAGGAGTGGTTTAGAAATGCAGATTCCTAGGTCTCACTGCAGACCTCTGATGTGGCGTATTATATCTATGCTTTAACATGCCTTGCATATGTTTCTGATATTCACTACGATTTTAGAACCACTACTTGAGAAAATTTACTTTAGAATGGCATTTCTCAAACAGTGTTCCACAGAAAACTAGTGTCCTGGGAACCAGTGGTGTTTCTGGGCGTCCCTGGCAAGGTCGAGTGAGTTTGGGAAAAGCTGTGTCTTGAAGGTGTAGAATGCATGTTAGTGTGTAAGTGGAACCTGTTTATTTGACCTAGCGAGGCCCAAACACCTTAGATTATAGAGATTTTTTTTGGCTAGGGAACTTGCCAAAGTTTCCAGGGGATACTGTTCTAGGCGGAAGTGACCTTAGGACAACTCAAGCATATCCTTCACTCCCTGTAAGAACTTGGAATGAGTAACTCTCAGTGGTAATGTTAGTTCCGAGCTTTTAAAGTTCAAGTCTGCCATGAAGCTCTGAAAAAGCTTCAGGGTGACGCCAACAAGTACAATCAAGTAGATGTGAACCGAGCTGAAAATCGCATTGTATGGAATGAGTGCTTTTAATTCTAGAATTAAAATAGGCATCCCTGTATCTTCTTCAATGAGACTGGCTTCAGGATAGTATTACAATGTCTTACATAGCACTTGATAAAGTGTTAAGGGAACATATGGATACCACTTACATATTCATGGATTTTCAGTCACTTTGTGAACTTTTTTACCTTCTCATTTGGGACTTTTTTCCCTTTATATCTAAAATGACTACAAAATAGATTTTTGTGGAAATTTTAAAAACTCTATCAAAACATTCTGGGGATGTGATAATGCCCCGTCCACAGAAGTACATGAGAGCACACAAAACACTGCACGTTCCATTGACTTTAGTGCTGCTATTAAGTGAATCGGTTCTTGCTTGTCTCATGATTAGGATTAATCTTCTTTAAAGTTTGTACATGGAAAAAAATAAAAAATAAAATTTGTACATGGGTAGAAAAGTGTTACTTTTTAAAATACATAAAGGGCAGTAAGCTAATCATAGGTATCTGTTAAGTAGGACAATCAGAGGTGAAGAATTAGCATTCTGTCTTTTGTGTGTTCTCGTCTGCATTCAGCTCCCTCTGTGGGTTTCGTAGTCAAGTGCTGCTTCTTTACAAATGCTCTCTTCCCACTCTGAAGTCTGCTGTACCTCTGGAACACACTTATAATATTCTGTACATTAGGGGAAAAGGCAAATACTATAAGTTTGTGTTCTGCTAACTGTAGACATTTATTGCCCTATGAGTTACCTATCTTTGTAAACACCTGTGTTCCGCCATCTCTTACTAACTGTGGTAACAGGGAGGGAGACATCCAGAAGAAACGCTTATTTGTACTATTTCAGCCAATCAGTGAATGTAAAGCCCACATTGTTGCCTTGTTATAACCCAATCTCCTATTAAGTGGAAAAATTATCTGTCTTGAATTTCATCCTAGCAGGTGGAGTTCAGCTAAACCCCTTCTGCTTTTTCATTGAATTCTAACTGTAACACGACCCCACAGCATCGGCCCCAGGAGTGGTGAGGTGTGGGTGTACAAAAGGCTCCTTAGTTTTTCCATTATTATTAATCTAAGAGCCTTTTACTTACATGTGTGCTGTATTTGTTTAGAGACTATAGGTAATATTATTTAAAAACTGAGTTTAATAAATACTTAACCACCCCCTGCAAAAAGAAAAAACAAAACAAAATAAGAATACCTCATCCTCGGAAATAGCAGGTCTGAGATTCAAGGCTTGGAAACACACTCAAAACTCAAAATCACTCTGTTGGTGTCTACCTCGGGCCTGGCTTTTGGACAATCACCTCCTCCTAGACCTGTGCTCTAAAACTTTCCTATAAACAAAGATCAACACCACCATCCTACATAGAACACTTGTCTACAGAAAAACATCACCAAAAAGCCAATGCCCCCAGCTAAAACCAAAAAAATGAGGTCTCAGAAAATAATAACCAGAAAAAGATGCTGTGTATTCAGCCACCTAACGTGTACCATTTCATCTCAAGCCCAAGAACAGTACAAGTGACAGAACAGTGTGTTCTTTGCAACTGCACACCACAAACCCATGCCAGCCAGGGGATGGAGGGATCTGGCACACATATTTATCCCTTACACTCCTGCTTCCTACAGAGAACCTCATGCGCTCAGCCTGCTTGTGGATCTGAGCCCAATTAATATTCTGGTTAAACCTGGAAGAAAACGGAAAATGATTTCTTCCAATGGTAAAGCATGAGGGATGTACAATCTGTCATCTAGAATGTTACTCATTCAAAATTATAAGCAGTCTAAACTATCAAACATAATTGTAGTTCAAGGATTATAATAGAATTTTTTAAAGGAATGAAAATATTTCTTTCAAGCTGAGCTGAGTCTAAAATGTTAATCTTCTTCTTTCCAATTTATACCTTTTCTTGAAACACTGACATAAAACTGATCAAGATTCTTACTTATAGATGTCAGCCTAGACAACTTATTGAATTTCAGTTAAAAATCAGCATGGTGGCCAGCATGTACGCCATGTGAAATGCACACTTGCTCGCCAACTGTGTGTGATACTCAAGCACTACAAGAGTCGCTTACTGAACTGAAGCAAACCGAGCAATTAAAATGGGAAGCTGAGAAAAGAATGACCACCCATGTGCAAGGGCTTACACTGATATGGACATACTTCATGGGTCCAAACTGTCAAAATAGGGAATATCTATAAATAACTAAGGCTACCTTAAAACAGTGTAATTGAAAACAGGAGAATGAATACTCAATAATCCTTCACACCACCTTTTAACTCTGAGGTTACAATTACTAGTCTCGGCATAGGACCGAATATAACTACACTTGAATTTGAAAAGACATGCTTCGGGAATGGTTAGGAAAAAGGACAAGGAAACCAGACCTTTTTATCTAGAAGAGAACCCTGACAAAGCAGGAACACTACCTCTGCCATGCCAATGAATAAGACTGTTATTTGAGAGACATCACTGCACCGATTTGAACGGCTTTTTTCTTTAAATTCAAAAAGAGGAAAACAACCTAACTGTGGTAGGCAGGATAACTGCTCCCCTAAGGAGGTCCATGGTTTTTCCCCAGAACTTGTGATGATGTTACAAGTGTGATAAATTAAGACTTTGAGGTAGGGGAGATGCTCCTGTATTGCCCTGATGGGCCCAGTCTAATCTCAGAGAAGCCTTCCAGCTTGCAGTCAGACAGAACGGCTCTGGAAGCTATGCCTGTGAAAGAAGGGTCAGAGAGGTGAGCTGCTGCTGCCTCTGAAGACTGAGAAAGAGGCCACAAGTCAAGGAATGCGGGCGGCCTCAAGAAGCTGGAAAAGGCCAAAAAATGATTCTCCCCTAGAGCCTCCAGAAAAAAAAATGTAGTCCTGCACATACCTTGATTTTCATGCAATGAGATCCACATTAGACTTCTAATATACAGAGCTAAAGATAATAAGATTGTGTCATTTTAAGCCAAAAGTTTGTGGTCATTTGTTACAATTGCAACATGAAACTAATACACTAACAGTCCTTTACGTAATAGAATAAGACAATGTCCTCAAAGCCGGAAATGTCCCTAAAACAAACAGTTGCCTTTAAAGCTAAGGTGACACACCTAAGGCAATCAAAGAGAGGTTTTACAGATATCTAAAGCAACAGACTCAGGAAGTCTCGTTAAGAAAAATAAATTCTTTGGCAGAACAAAAACAGCTTAATACTTTGAAAGGAAAGCCTGTAGGACACTGGCTGGCGCACAGGTACAGAACCGAGAAAGACGACTCCGGAAAGCGTCCTCCACAGGGAACTTACGTCCAGGTTCTGCAGACAGTACCAGCAAAACGTGTGTTTGCAGTTCTTGCACATCATCTGAGCACAGCCCTCATTGCGTTCGATATAAACCCGGCAAACTGGACACTGCTTAATGGGGGCATCCGCATCCGTCCCAAAGAGGGCCCTGGAAACAAACGGATGAGAAAAGATATGGTGAGGATGGAGAATGCTGCCTGATTTTTTTTTTTTTTAAAACTAGAGCCACAAGGGTGTACACTAACCAGAGCTGTGGTAAGAGTGGGCTGGATATAATTAATAGTTAAATAATGCTCTTCTAGACTCAATTTTCTGGTCATCAGTGGAATTCCTAGGGCTCCTGATGGGTAGGTTGTAAACTCTTTGTTATCTGTGCTTAATTCACCCCCAGGGAAAAGGGTGAGGAAACAGGAGAGACAGACATTATTAGTTACTCAGATAACTCAGAACAAAAAAGAAGACCTTCATTTATTTATCTTTGGCTTTGAGTGAATTATATAATCGTATTTCCCACAGCTGACTGAATTCATTGTTTTGCCACAGTAGTATTTCATCCCCTGAACACACACTGCCAGAATAAGAAGTGCAAGAAGTCTGTTACACAGCAGAAAAACTAGCTCAGGATCTAATGGGGCACAGACAACCCATCTAATGATCTGTCCAAATAAACAAATGGAGGCAGCTGGGGGAGTCAATAATCAATACTTTAAAGTAAATGCCCAAAGTCACTAAAAAGACTCCAAACAGATGGATAGGCCAATAAAGGGTCACAGGCCAGAGGGACAGAAAATAAGGGGGGAGGTGGGGTGAGAGGGAAGGCTGGGTGAGCCACAGCACTGGGTGTACTTCAGCTGTTCATCCAAACCACACCCGGCACAGGGACATCAACTTCACAGAGTTGTACAAACTGTGATGGAGTTGGGTACTTCCCAATAACCTTATATAGATAGATAGCAGTGGGACACTTACTACTTTAATTAGCTCCCCTCTTTTTCTCAAATAGAGAATCATCCCCTAGGGCCTGAGAGACTTGATGAGATCACAGGGATGCCATGTGACAATGTCAGAACTCAGTCCTTCTCCCTCTGGGATCTTTACATTGTCCCATGATGCCCGGGGACCTCCTGGCAGTGGCAGTGAAAATGTAGGCGGTACTGGTAAAAGGGCACAGGCCTGCCACATACACTGGATCTGTTTTCCCTCTTGATTTGTCTGGTCTCAGATTCAAGCACAGTATCATAGGCAGGTAGCACTGCTATTCCTGAGAATGCTTCTACACACTCTTGAGGGCACTGGGTGACTAAGCCAACCGGACTACAACACTGGTATTTCTGTTCTCACTGATGCAGAACAGCCATAGCCTCAAGCAAAGCAAGAGATCAAACAGAAAGATCTCTCACTCTGGGCCCTGCTGCTGCCATAAAAACTGTCCCTACTGAAAGGCACAGGTTTAATTGCTTCTCATCACAACTTGGCACCATCTTTTCAAAGCATAAAGTATTGACATATAAGCTCTTTTCCTGTAGTACCTATGAATTTAGCACTGTACTACACTGAAGGACTGTTGTTTCCACTGCTGCATTCTCTCCGATATGACTGGCACACCTCATGAGCTGGCAATTTCCTTAGGTAAGAAACTAGTTTCTGCACACTTGGCAAGCATAAAGAACGAGGTATGTCAATAGCCGGCAGGTATGGTACCCAAGCAAATCGCTGTGGACAAGCTACGACTTCCGGCTGAGAACCAGTGGATCGTGTGACTCTCTAACTAAAGAGAAATCAAAACTGATACAAACTCTAATTTCAGCAGTACCTGAAAGACTTTCCAGGGAAAATAACTAAAATCTCCCTAGAGATGCTTTTTGGCTTATTCTTTGTTAGCAAAGTACTGCAGGGAAATAATGAATTGCTGAATTTCATCACAAGATAATTCCTTCCCCAAGCAACACACTTCATTTTTCTAAGAAAAATATGAATAATCCCAAACCCCACATTTTCCTTCTTACCCGTGCTCTGTTGGCAAGATGACAGGCTGACTGTCTCTGCAGGAGCCCTCAGGATGCCAAGCATCCTTGCAACACGAGCAGAACTTCAGGTGGCAGGAAGGGCACTCCACCAGCACAGGCTGTCCCGGGTCACCTGCTGCAACGGGGCACACTGTCTGACAGTCCGCGACAGGACACCATGTTCGGTGGGGGTCCAGGTGAACTTCTGAAGTGTAAAGAAAGAAAATGTGATGGTCTACCTGTCTCTCACTCGAACTTGAGGCTTTCTCCTCTTCATTTAGTCTCTTGCACAAGCTAATATTTATGGAAATTTAGTACAACCAAGGGCAGTGATTTCTTCACAGGGAATCCAAACCTACAAGGTCACTCAGCCTCGCCACATTTCCCAGAGGTGGTACTAACAGGACAGGCCATGTTGCCCCTATAAACAGATAAGCCGTGTTCTCATTAACCAAAATGTGCTACTCTTTTGGAATATTTCTTTCTTTTAAGCACTCAAAATACGTAAAAATCTCAAGTCCTTTCTACAATTATTTTGGGTACTATCTTGGAGGAAACTGGACAAGAGAGGAAACTGGATAAGAAGTATCTACCAAAGTGAAAGAAAAAAAATTCACAACAGATTTCATCCTCCAGACACTGAGACTAGGTAGTGAGGTTTGCTTTGCTATTTAGAGAGAAATTATTGAAGAAACAAATAATTGAGGGGCCAAACAGTGTCTGGTATGGCTTAGCCAGAAAGTTAGAGTAGCTGTTAATCTGGATTCTGTGCTGCCCTACCAATATGGCACTTAGAGACAATTTGAAAGACAGCCACATACTGTAAAACAAGAGGCAGGAACTTTCACGGGCCATAAAACATCAGTTTTGTCCGATACCTCACTGGCTAGACCCGAGTGGCGTGAAGGAAAGAACACAGGGCTGGGGGTGAGTGGCTGTCTCTCTATTCAAAGCTTTACAGACCTTGTTCAGTTTTCCATTTTCTATACAATAACAGGCCTCATGTTCTTGTCATGTAATATGACCTTTTAGGGAACATATCATGTAAAAAATAATGTTATTTGAGGGGTAAAATAACTCTTTTTCCTCTGAAGCAATGTACAGGGTGGGGCAAAAGTAGTTTTGAGTATGTGAAACACAGTTTATTCTTGTACTATTACTTATTACATTAGGTGCTATACAAACAACTCTAAACCTACTTTTGCTCCACCCTGCACTTTGCACATTTTGAACTGATAAGGCTCTAGCTTTAAATCTCCTTAGGTCTGTGATTCTTCAAAATTTCTGCTTGGGAGACAAAGAAACCCAAAGGGTGGTGCACAAAAGAAAATGAAAGTATTAAATGTAAGCTTAGCTTTAAAGGTAATAATTTCTTCGGGGGACAAAGTCTGAAATGTTCCAGCCCACATTAGTCTCCACTAATGTTTCACCTAGAAAATGCAACATTTCAAGCTATGGTTATAGGTTTTTATTTTTAAAAACATCCTTAAATATATTTTCTTCTTTAATTCTGGGGGACAGGAACTGGAAAATGATGGGCCAAATGTAACCAAAAAAGGAAAACTGATGATTCATAGATCTTCAGACCCTACGAGAGATGGACCATGGAAGGTCCCTCAGACTTTGGGACGGGCTGGTTAGACACTCAAGGGACAGTGGCACGCCATGCACCAAGGTCTTACCTTGCGTTTCCAAACCATTTATGTTTTCATCCAAACTCTTATGACCGTTTCAACTACTAAGCCCAAAGAAATGAAGGCTGGTATATAACTTAGGGCTAAGGACTCTCAGGTCAAATATCTACTTATTATCCATTCTAAATAATAGGTCTTTCAAAGTCTGATGATAAAGGTAAGTCTGTATCTTAGAACCATGAATAAGCAGCCAACCTACACATGTGAAAACTTTCCCGTTTTTGTCAAAATAATGCAAAAAGAGAGACAGAAAGATTTACATATGTATTAAAGCGGTCCAATTTTACCGGGAGCTAAATGAGCAGAGGGAGACTCATGGGAGTTTATTTGGGAATAGCAATCAATAGCCCAATCACAGATTATGATGATAAAGCCTAAGTGTGATGAGAAGCCACTGAAGGGAAGGGTCATGGTATGATTCTCATTTTCTGGACATTACTCTGGGTATTGTAGGAAGAATAGATGGTAGCAGCACAAAGTAGCAGCACAGAGGGGGTTACTGTGAGATCCAACCAGTGGTGCTACACTGGATTATATGTTAGAAGTGAAAGTACTGAAAATTTGGAGCATATTTGAAGGGCAAAATTGTCAAGATTTTCCAGTAGAAAAGCAGTTGGATAGAGTCATCCCAGTTGACAAACACTGGCTAGAAATATGCCTGGAACATAGTAAATGTAATTGAATAAATGAAAGGAGCTACATAAGAGGGAAAATTTGAATCTACAGATAAATTCCTTTGGTAATAAAAGATAATGGACACATTAGTGCTAAGATTCCATATTGTTCTGCTCTTTATTCAGACATTTCTCGAGAACAGCAATAACTACCCAGAAAATGTTTCGTGTTTGGGTTTTTTTTTTTTTTAAGAGCACCTTGGAGTCTCCTGGAGAAGAGCTTTCCCCAATGGAACAAGAATCCAGACATACAGGTTGGGCCTGGTCACACAGAAAAGGCATTTGTCCTTTGGATTACCGTTCAGCTCCAACCCTAGGGGACTTATAAGTCAACAGAAGCTATAAGAGTTGTTGTAGTTTTTAATTATTATAATTCCAATATGCCAGAAATAGCACAATTTTTCTTTACATACCCCAGGTAATAGTGTTCCACAAAAGAGGCCTACACACCAGGTTAGTAGAAAAGGAAGAAATGCTGCAAGGGCATCAGACATTGGCAGCCCTGGCAGCTAACAAGACTTTGCAGAACACAAGCCAAAAGGGAACAGGCTGCTGGAGCAGGTGGTGGCCAGATCCCCAAGCGCGTGCAAGAGCTGTCTTCTCCCCACTCTCACCTCCATGCTGACAATCTGCCAGGAGACTGAGGGGAAGGGGAGTCCCACTGGATTAATGGGGGATTTTCAAAACACTTCTTATTACTATTGTGGTGAATTCAATTTTAGAATTGAAATGGAGCTGCCACCTCCTCCTGGCAGCTTCTGGCTTAGCAAACAAAATGTACACTCATCCAAAACATTTAAGGTCTAGTTTCTTTCCATTTCAAATTTATTTTCCAAAGTTAGGGGGGAAAATGAACTAATGTATATTCAACTCATTTCTTATGCATCGGCAATGACAAAAGCTTCATGCTGCTTTGAGATGGGGAGAGGTTCACAAATCTAGAAAAAGGAAAACCAGGAGTCTGTGTAAATCAGCCACCAACTAACAGTGCCCAAAACACTTTTAAGATGAACATTATTTAAAAGTGATTAGTTGTAACATACTTACATCAGAGACAGACAAAGTCAAAGACTTATACTGGAATGTACTTATGAAAATGAGAATTGATTACTGAAGTAAAGCCCAGTGACTATTTGGTCATAAAACTCTGCTTGTTCATGTAATATTTGCAATGCAAAAAATGCTATTTAAACTATCTTTTACTTCTGTAATCTGACAATTATTGAGAAGTAGAAACATTCTAAGAAAATAAAACTTCCATGAAACCTAAAGACCATATTTGACACCAATGAACGTTTGCAGTTTTCAAAAACTGAACTCCAGGACCCTTGGTTTTCCCACTTGGAACTATCAGCATCACTTATGCTGGGCTTGCTTCTTATTCTGTAGTATATTCTCTTGCCTCACATGAGTGGTTTCCTGCCATGCTCTACCCTTATGAGGCTGTGCCCAGAATGATATCACATGAGTTTTTATTATTGTATTTTTATTATTGCACCCAAACTAATTTAATTACCAGCTGAAATAAATCAAACTGTTTTAGCTTTTATGACCCACTGCATTTTTAATTACGCCAAAGTTAATTTGCTTTCTGGTATCTCAAAGAACTATGGTCTTCTGAAGGTAGTTAAAATACAATTAGATTAAGCTGATCAGAATTAACATCTGCTACAGGAAATACACTCAAACAGAGGTGGCCATCGGCAGAGGGATTGCTCTCAAAATAGCTGAAGCGAACCACAGAATTTCAAACTTGGAAACAACCTTTCGGCTTAGCTAGTCTAACACTAAGCTATATTAGTGGGTACTAAGTTATATTAGTACCCACAGAAGTTAGAAGATTGCACAATGGAGTTATGTTGGGATCAAGCTTTTATTACCCCTAGAAAACCATTCACTATGTCAAAATATAATCATGCTACTAAATGGAGTTTAATTTCCACTATCGCCATGGCCACATTTTTTCCTCAAAGCAGCAACTCTAAATGCATCCTCTCAGCAAGTTATGATCTCCTTGGGGGTGGTCAGAGAACGTGGATTCACACCTATAGGAAAAGTATACTATATATACTGTAGGAAGAAAATGGATGTGCTAAGCTGCCATAATGGAATTAGCATTGATTATCAAGTTTCTATATAACTCTAGAATCTAGGACAACAAAGGATGGAAACATGCCGATAAAGATTTGGGCTAAGTCAAAAAGAACACAGAAGTAATATTGTGCTATACACTCAGTCCAAGGTACGAGCTCGATTCTGGAAGATGCTTTCTTAGTTTAGTTCAGAAAATGGGAAAAAATAAGATTTAGTGGTGGTAATGATTACTAGCAACAACAATAACAATAACAGCAGTGATAATTTACTGAACACATACTGTAGCTAATACACAAATATTTACTCACCCTCTACAACAGTCCTATGATAACCACTGATTGTATCCCCTTCGACAAGTGAGGAAATGGAAGTACACACAGGAAGCTGTGAACACTTGACATTGTGCCTCTTATTCAAGTCCCCTTTAGAAGTTTCATCCTACGTGCTATAAATGTCCTTTCCCAAAGACATTTTAGTTTTTCAAAGGAAAACTGAAACATCTAAAGGGCACTGTTTTAGACTTAAAACTGACCACCAAGAAAGAACAGGATGGTAGAGGAAGCAAGAAGATGAGGAGAAAGTGCTATCATCCGAAGGCATAGGATAGCTTAGGAAGGAAACCTTCGACTTAACCACTCACCACGAAACACCAGAAAAGCAGGCTCAAAAAGGAAAACACACGTGCGCACACACACAATAAGAATGGGCTTATGATCAGCACCTATGAGAAGGAAGATGGCTAA